GGAGCGCGGGCCTCGCCGCCAGCTGAGGCGACGCCGGCGCGGGCTGAGCGCCGCGGGCCTTTTCCCTGGGCGGCCGGTAGTCTGGAGCGTTAATTTTCACCTCGCTGTTTCATAACTAGCGTTCCCCCGGCAGCGAGCGCAGGCCCGCTTGCATAATCTTGTCACCGTGGTGGTATCTCGGGGATGTTGCCTTGAAAACTGCGGTTTTGTCCGCGAAGCGGGTGGTTAGCGGGAGGTGCTCGTTTCTGCATCTTCCCCCAGACAAATGTGGGGCGCTTAACGGTTGCGTAACTGATGGACCCTAAATTTTTTTAAGACTAACTGTACGTGATCTTGGGAGCGTTGTCATACAGCAGCCAATGCAAGGTCTTTAAAATTTTTGAATTCACTCGTTTAATCCTGTTATGTCATGGGAGGGCATGCTTAGTATTTATAAGCTGCGTATTTAGGAAAGGTATTTTGAGATTTGGAGAAAGAGCTTTTACAACAGTTCATCAAAAGAATTTATGTCCAGTCTGTTAGAGAAATTCAGAGGAGAGTTCTGATTTCAGACTGTGTTTATCAACAGTCTGTGAGAGATAGCCAGATGGAAACTGAGCATCACAAAGTCCTTAGAGTTCTGTTTCTGTTGCCTTCAAGAGGTACTGCCAATAGGGAAAATATGGAAACGATGCTGAAAGCGTCAGTGTAAAACATTCATTTTCCTCTCTTGGTCATCTTGTCCTACTTTGTAATTTATATGGCGTTTTAAATTAATGATGGATTTGACTGGAAAAACTTGCTACCTAAGCTTTGTCCTTGCTTAATGAATTACGTGATGGAATTCAAACCATTTTAGGAAGATGCTGAATTTTAGCAATCTGGTGGAATTCAGATAACACGCTAATAATTTGAATGTGTTAAATACACTGTAACGATATCCTAGTATAATTCTGGTCCCCTAGTGAGATATAGGTTTGCAAGAGTAGCAAATAAACCTTTGTTTAATTTTTCTTCAGCATGCGTGACACCAGTTTACGTTTGTTAGGCTATAACGTGTTAAATATTAGCAACGTGTGCCGTTAGACACTGTTCCTAATGGGCTGAGCCTGCTGAAGCCTTATGTTCAGTGTGGTGGATGTTTCTTTCTGTGTCTTGTATATAATAAGAAAACAGTTGAGTGCTATGCTTAATATCCATGCTCCAGGGAACCTTTGAGCCATCAGATGCCCATATCAATATAGGAGGGCATAAAGAATCCTTAGCAAAGCAAATAGAGATTAAGAGTTCTGTCATATAAGGGAGAAGGACATTGAGAGATGGTGTGTCCTTTCCTGGGCATGAAGGGAAGATGTGGGATAGGATAAGTAGAGCCTCTGACATGAAGGAGGGAACAAAGATAGGGTTGTGGGTATTTCTGGAGTGAGTAAAGGATGAAAGGGGAGCATCCAGGGCATTTTAGGTGAAGCAGTGCTGTAGGGAGCTTCCTGTCTGTGTAATAAGCTTAATCTATGAAATCTAGAAAGTATGCCTCCTCTAGTCTGAATAGTTTTGACAGGTTAAATACAAGAAGTGTGTGAAGCCAGCTGTTCCTGAATGCAAGTTGTGGTGAAACCAAGTAGACTGAGGAATGGTAATAAAACATCCAGACTAGGAAAAGGTGAAACAAAGTAAAAGCAGTTCTCAGTACTGTAATGGTTT